GTGGGGTGGGTGTGGGTGTGGGTGGGGTGGGTGTGGGTGTGGGTGGGTGTGTGGGTGGGGTGGGTGTGGGTGTGTGGGTGGGGTGGGTGTGGGTGTGGGTGGGGTGGGTGTGGGTGTGGGTGGGGTGTGGGTTAAGGGAGAATAGTACCTACACCCACACCCACACCCACACCCACACCCACACCCACACTCACACCCACACTCACCCACACCCACACCCACACCCACACCCACACCCACACCCCATCCACACACACCACACCCACGCCCACACCCACACCCAGCACCCACACCCACACCCACACTCCACCCACACCACACCCACACCCACCCACACCCACACCCACGCCCACATCCCACCAACACACCATCCACACCCACATCCACACCCCATCCACACATCCCACACTCACACCCACACCCCACACCCATACCCATCCCCACCCCACACCCACACCCAAACCCACCCACATCCACACCTACACCCGCACCCACACCCACCCACACCCACACCCACACCCACACCCACCCACACCCGACTTGACAACCTATTTCTACCCGTCTACCAACCCAGGAATGACCGAGCCTGAGAATCTCGAGTTCTGTGCATGCCTATTCTTTATCTTGAATACTTTATTGTCACCACGTGTAGTCCTTTTGAATAGAATGTGAAAATAACGTGTTTGAAAAAGAAAAAGAAAAACAAAAGCAAACAGAACCAGAAAGAAACTAAAATGTTGCCATAAAATTCAGATAAGAAAAGAGTTATTTGGTAAACAACACTCGACCAAGTCGAAAGAAACTATCACTAAAATTGACGCGGTATGGTTGATCTTCATTATTTCAATTGAATGAGCACCCCACCAAAAGAATTTCTAAGATTGTAGATAGTTCTTGAAATGACATAAAGAAAGCTATATAACATACAAGATGTCGTGAGATTTCGAAAAAAAACGCCAGAGAAACAAATTGATTCTAGACTACATTTCATACAACCTTCGAAAAAATTTCTTTAGTCATTTACATTGGATTAGATGAGTTCGAGTCACGATTTCTTTGGAGAAACAATCTATTACTTGTTTCAATGTATCTCTAAGGTCGAAATTTCGAAATGTTGAAATTGTTTATTTTTACAAATCTTAAATATTTCCTATAATACCTTAGAATTCAAAGTATTTCTCAACTTTCTACAGTTTTTTTAAGTGTTGTCGAAGATTCTTCATGATTCTCTTCAAAATTCATTACTGTCAACACATATTATCTCCATCCGTTGCATAAATTTGATCTCTATTTTAGAGGAATTTTCGATCATAGAAGCCGTATTTTGATATCATTTTTTAAAAGAACTTTTTCGACGCAAAAATTGGAAAAATTAAACAAACATCAAATATTAACTGCCGTCAGTGTTATTAACAAAACCTCAACTTATCATTTAGAAAACATCTATTATTATATACTACTAACATGGCCACATGTGAGACGCCTTCAGCGAATTTGGAACCCTTTGTCTGTATTTGGCTAGATCAATCTATTCACTTTGAAAGTAATCAGGAAGTAATGGAAAAACTTCGTTTAATCTTAAATTATCTCAAGATCTTTGATAATGAACAAAATTGTGAAGAATACATTAGAAAAATTAAAACTGAGCAGATAGTTCTAATTGTTTCAGGCGCGCTAGGTCGAACACTTGTGCCACGTATACATGACCTATCGCAATTTGTAGCATGCTACGTATTTTGTCGACACCGCAAAGTAAATAAAGAGTGGGCTGATCAATACTATAAGGTATATTATGCTATTTCAATTTCATTGCATTCACAAGAGAAATTATTTATAGGTAAAAAGTGTTATCACTAGAACGGATGATTTAATCTCAAAAATCTCGCAAGATCAGCTTATTCGCAACAAATTCGAAGAAAGTAACTCAATCGCAGTTATGATCAAAGATTCCACTACGCTTAAAGAACGTGATGCTTCTTTCATGTGGTATCAGCTGTATATTGAAGTTCTTCTACGAATGCACTACAAATTGAGTGATCGTCAATATATGATTGATCGTTGTAAGGAGTTTTACAAAGACAATCAACTAGAGATGAGTATTATTCATGAATTTGAAAAAGAGTACAAACCAGAACATGCTATTTGGTGGTATACTCGTGAATGTTGTTTCTATCGAATTATGAACAAAGCTTTACGTGGATCAGATTTCGACACAATCTTCGATTTTCGATTCTTTATTGCCGATATAGCTAAACATATAAAAGCTGAATACGAGAAATTTATTCGAACAACAAAAATACGTGAACCGTTCTGTGTTTATCGAGGACAGAGAATCAACAATGGGGATTTAGAACTGATGAAGAAAAGTATAGGTGAATTCTTATCAACGAATTCTTTCTTATCGACGAGTCAAAGACGATCTGTGGCCCTCACATTCATCGAAAAAATCATGCCTACCGATGGCTATCATCGAATTTTATTTGAAATTCAGGCTGATCCACAACAGAAAACAAAAGCGTTTGCTAATATCAAAGAATGCAGTTACTTCAAAAAAGAAGACGAGGTGTTGATTATGCTTGGCGCACTTTTTCGCATCGATAAAGTTCTTGAAGACCCCCAAACTAAGATTTGGATGGCTAATTTAACCTTAGCAGATGATGACGATTTGGGGTGTGGGTGTGGGTGTGGGTGTGGGTGTGGGTGGGTGTGGGGTGTGGGT